TGGAAATGGAAATGGAAATGGAAATGGAAATGGAAATGGAAATGGAAGCATCTTCTTCACAATTGTCTCAAGAAATGTTGTTTCAGTAAAAGAAAAAAATTGAAAGGTTATGCCTTCTTTTCCTGCCCATAAGTAGATCTTATTCTGTTCATATCAGCTCTAAATCAAGAAATCAAATGAGAAAATCTAAAGTCAGCATCTAGAAAACTAAAATACCTGAAGAGAAAGTGTTGAGAAAAAATTCTAGAGTCAGAAGTTATTAAATAGTAAAGCAATGGTTCTATAAAGAGCTCCTTGTAGTTTTAATTAAAATCCTTGCTTTGTGTCCCTCAGCAGTAATGGGCTTTCTCACATCTGAGGCATAAGCTACCCATGTCTAGATTATTTGAGCTCTCAGACAGCTTCAAAAGTTATAATGGTTGAACTCCACAGATGAGAAAATAGAAAGTGAAAAGAGAAGAGAGAACAAGTCAAAACAATCAATTCAAAGCAAGCTGCTTTTGAAAAGATCAACATTAAATGTCTTCAGAAGACTTCATCTCAAAGTTTTGACACAGGCAAATCCTAAAATCCTGGAATATACTGCATAAAAGAAGTCAGCAGCTCTTGTCAACAAGCAGCACATAAATGGGAATTATTTCAGTGGCATCAGAACTTTAACCTTCGTGACTGTGCCTTTCTAGGGATAATTTGAGTTGCGCATGGACCGGCACCCTTTTGTGTGCTCATGCAAGGTCTCTTGTTCTTCTAGTTCCCCTCACCATGTCGGCTGCCACCAACCTTTCTGACTGTATCCTGAAGGATTTCTCAATGCACCCTGAGTGTTCCACATGGCTTTCTATTGCTTTTTATTTAGCAATAGAGAAGAGTTGTGTTGCACAAGACTTCTCTATTGATGTGTAAACATTGATAGCCGCAGAAAAAACATCACCTGGTCTGGCACAGGGAAAGTCCTTTCAGTCTGGCTATATATCACAAATAAGAGGATGTTCACTGGGCAGATTTAGCCAATGTTTTATTTTCCTCTAAATATCCTCCTAATAACAGCACCTTTTAAGCAACTTCAGAAAGAAATAATGCTGAGTATAAAGAGCCAAGGATAATAAAACTGTGAGAAACATGTTTGTACAGCACAATGAAATCTCTGCTGGATTACAAACTAAGTGATTCCCTAGAAACACCTACAATAAACAACAATGGGTGTGAGTAGCTCTTTCTATAATGCCCAGCAGTCTGCAGAATTAAGAAGGTATCACTGTGTAGCCCATATTTCAGTATACATATATGGAGTGAGAAAGTTTACAAAAGAATTGAGCAATTTTAAAAGGGAAAAAAGCATTTAAGCTTTAAAAAATGATTGCAAACTCAGAAGACAGAGACCTGCAGACACTTAAAACACGATATACTACAGGGTAACCAATGCACTGCCATGATGTCAGGAAAAGAAGTTAGACATTTTGAGTTTAGCATATATATGTAATATAAAAGGAGAAAAATGGGTATTTGATACATAGAGCAAAAAAAAAAAAGTTCAAAACAATATACTTCATGCTGCATTTCTCTGCAAGATAGCAGCTACTTCAATGAAGCTTTCAAAAAATGTTGAAACAGACACAACTTTTACTGCACTATTTAATGCTGAAAGAATCATTTGTGGCTGTGGCATGTAAACTGGAATATTTGTGCCACTGAAACATGGTCAGTGTTCTGCTACTGAAAACAGTTATATTTTATTAGAAACTCGCTGGTAATAGAATGATCACTGAGCTGTGAACGTGTGTGTAAATAATGAACTCAGAATGCACAGCACTTCCAATTTCAGGAAATAAATCATATTCTGAGTTATTTAATTAAATGAAAGTATGTATGTTCCCTCTGTCTGTAAAGTAATTTCATTTGGTACTTGAGAAAGTTTTCACAACAACAATTACTTTAGATATGCAGAATACGTACTTTGAGAAATTTGGGATAATTTGGTGAAGAAAATCACCACAGAAAATCGCATATTTTGAAGACTATACTTCTTAAAAAAATAACATAATAAAATCTGAAAAAGTAACTCTGGGAATGTAGGGCCATTTTAAATGAGGGGAGCAGGCATCAGCTCTGCCCCCAGCGCAGACAGCACTTGCCATCCCTGAGTGGTGGCATCCACCCGCTGAATCTCAGCTTGGAGCCCAGCAAGGGCAGAGCCTCTCAGCTTCCCCAAACATCTCTGTTTTGAGAAACACGCATTCTTTCCGGTGGAAAGATGTTTTCTTGTAAAATTCCCAACCGGCTGTAATCAGGAGCTACGCCTATTTCCTTCCAGAGGTTGTTTTCTACAACAAAGCAGCACAGGTTGCAGCGCTGTGACAAAGACGTCTTTAATGCAGAGAATGTCAGGCAACTGCTTCCCATCCCCATATGCCCAGCCAGGCAGGATCCAGTTGTTCATGCTTCTTATGCCACGCAGTAAAAGCAAACGGGTAAGCTATTACTGTAAAACACAACCCTTCCAAAAAATAATGAAGTAACAATAAGAATGTATTGCTACCTCTCACATGGTTTATTCTATCACTGTTAGGTTTTGCTCATCGGTGAAACCACACTAGTTTCTGGTCTAAATCCACAGACTTCCATGTTATTACTCATTAAGTAACAATTAATTTAACGGAATTTAACTGTTAAAAATAAGTGTACATTTTTTGCTCTTTTCTGTAGAGTGAATTTGCTGTAGAGGATACCAAAGAGGAAAACACAGTGATATAAATCTAGATATACCTGTAGACAAATTTATTCATGATGTGTTTTAAGAGCTCTAAGCTCAAATATGACTGTATGGGAACTGCTGAATCACGGCCTGAACCTCTGATTGATCACCTCAGGCGAGCACTGAGTCAGCCCTGGGAGCACAGGTGAAGGCAATTCACCTGTGCTGCTGGAAGGGGTGGAGCCTGGCTGCACCTTTCCTAGAGCCATTTAAGAGCTGGCTGCCAAGAGGGAAGGATGTATTTCTGGAGGTTCCTCTTTTTGGAGTTTTCTGGCAAGTTCATGACAAGGGTAAGTTCTGTATCTGGTTTTTTTTTTTTTTTTTTTTTTTTTTTTTTTTTTTTTGGTGCAATAACTTGCTTAGCCAAGTTTTCTTCTGCATTTCTTAATTGTAATACCTGTATAATCAATGAATATAGATGTGATACAGCTCAGTAACTTCTTTTAACCAGTTCTGAGGGAAATAGTGGCAGCTTATTATTAACAATTCTAAGTATGTCTGCAAGACTTGTTCATCTATTGCAAGAGCCAGTTTGTAAATCTAAGGTTTTTGCTAGCCTCTAACTCAGTATCTGTTGGATGTTTCCAGAAGCCTAACTGAAGTTGGAATAGGTTGAAAACTTCAGCGTTTCACAATAAGAACAACAAAAGGGTGCTGTCCTTTCATTTCTGTATTGTTCCCTCTTGTAGATCTTATAATACGCCATTAACAAGAAACAGTGCCCAAGACACTGGCATAAATGAGCAAAGGAAGAGATTGGAAGAAGTGCCTAGAGGAAATCTGGGGGATGCAGAAGACCCACGAGCACCATCCCAACCGGTGCAACCTGTGTAGGTATGTAAGGAAGGCAATGGCTGGATATGGTCTCAGTCTCAGCTTATCTTCTTTCCCACTGGCTTTCTTTTCAATTGAAGAATCAAGGAAGAGGTCACGGAGCTTTATTTCAAGACCTTCTAGTCACTGATTGGCTGTTTCATTGTCAGGATCCTCAATGCTCTGGATGAGAGCATGCAGAGGAGATGATCGAAAGCAGCCACAATCTTCCTGTTTCCTTCAAAACCTCTACTTGGGACTCTTCCTGATCAGAAAGGAATAAGTCCTTGTAAGTATTCTGAGCCACAACACTGCATTCAAACAGCTTCTTTCAAAGCTGCAGCATCTTTTTATACAGCAAGAGACTTTTCTTTATTTAGAATAAACTTATTTGGCTCCAGAAAGCAATAACAACCACACATGCCATGGCGCTTCCTCAGCAGAATTTCTAAAGCTGGGGCCATTTCAGATCCACAGCCACCACTGAGCCTGCAGGACCTGGAGTGCCTGGAGAGGACTGAGTAAGTCCAGGGGAAGCCAGTTCAGTGCAGGACAGCTACAACACCTCTTTTCTCCAGCATTCTGTCCTTCACTTTATGATATTAGAATGATATCTGCCTAGATATGCTCTTATTTACAGAGTTTGCTCATTTACTCCAGTTTGCTGCCTCACCCCCTTCCCAGCCACTCACCCTCCCTGTACCAAGTCCTGGGGGCTGTGCATGAGTGAACAGCTGCAAAATATTCTTAGGCTAGCTGGTATACTGGGAAGTTTTGTTTATCCTAAGGAAAATATTTATTGTTGTTATTATTCAGGTAAGACTTCCTTAATGTTGTTGTGCTTCTGTTTGCCACTTCACAAACAGCAAACTGAATTAAACCCTCACAATGGCTGTCAGTGAGAGAGAGGAAGAGCAAACATTGACTTGTAAGTACATATTTCATAAGGACCTGTCTCTTTGTTTATGGACAATCTTCTGTTATTCAGTCTTCGTAAGTTGACGATTTGATCTAAAGTCTCTGAGCATTGCACTGCTCCTTCTTCTCTACATTCTCAGGAATGTGGGGAGGGCAGAAAGCCTTCCAGATAGCCCAGGAGCTTCTCTAACTCAAGCGTTCGAGGGGGGAAGCCCAAAAACTATGATGGGAGACTTTTCTAGGCAGTCTTCATAGGGTCAGTGAGGTGTGAGAGAACTAGCTCTTCAGCAGAGGATACTGTGAATCACAGAGGCACCAAGAACCCTGAGGGGACACCATCTTGAAGGTACAGGACTGCAACAGTCACTCATGAAGGACACAGTCTAGCCCCTGAGAAGGCACTGGGCCTGCCCCAATGTTCCTGTGCCACTGTCACAGATGACTTTGTGTAAGAGGACCTTAAGTGTTTCCTAGACAGGGTCTTTTCCACCTACACAGCTGCACTGTACTGGATGCCTCCTCCTCCCATAGGCAGGAAGATGGCTGTCCACAGCTGTTGGGTTTTGCATCAGAAGCTGAAACATTTCCTGAAATGCTGTCAAAACTTGTCATTGCTAAATAGGTCAGGCTGGCTGGAGCACTGTGTAGGCTCATTCTGAAGCCTTGCCGATGTGTCTTAACCAGCAGCGCTTTATCCCTGTCCTTTTTTCACTGTGTCCAGACTCAAGCTGCATGGACAAAAAAGAAGTTAACTCTGAAACTTGCCCTAACTTTTGTCCTAGCATGGCTTGGAGCCAAAGGCAAAGAGTCAGTTCTTTAATCCACTTCAGCATCTATCCCTCTGGGGGTTCATAACTCAGCCATGAATGTTTGTTTTGAGCAGAAACCTGCAGTGCAGGTTCTTTGCCGAGGAGCAGCAGAAGGATTGCAGGCAGGCGCCAAATGTGGGCCTGTGAGAGCACTGGGTCAGGCAGCAGAGGGGAATGTGCAGGTCAGGAAGGACAGGGAGGTGGGAAACACAGCAGGGCACAGTGGAGAAGGGGAGAGAGGGAAAAACTGCCAAGTAAATGTGATAAAACCCTCATAGTTGTTGGCATAGTCTTACTCTGCTATGGCATGTCTGTCTCTTGATTTCTTATTCTCAAGCTTCTTCCATAGAGTCTAGGGTCTTCTGACAAGGCTGTGCTGGTGTCAGGATAATGCTCTGAACCATTATAATAGCAACTGTAGTATTGTTGCTGTGACTAGTTCATATTTCTAACATGAGTTTTTTGTGTTTGTCGGCATACATATCTACATCTTGCCAGTTTTACGCAGATTTTTTAATGCAGAATTAATTTTGAGTGAACAATAAATTTTATCTGCAATCCTACAATTGTGCTGCCTGAATATCTCTGGCTTCTTCTATTTTATAATGCCATAATGAAGAGTGGAAATCTTGTCTCCATTTTACAGAAGAAGAACTGAGGTACAGAGAAGCTAAATGACTTCCCTGAGGCCATACAGGATGTCTCAAGCAATGCAAAGAATGAAATTGTTTCATAGCAAGAAGATCACGGGAGTCCTGTGGTGGATCCTCCAGCACAGGAATACTGACATGTACACTTCAACCTTTACTGGCTAAAAAATAAGATCAGGCATCCTCTTGTCAGAGCCCAAAGTACTCTGTATATCCGCTGTATTTACAGAGAGCTTCCCTTCGTTTCAATTTCTGGAGTTAGACTTTTAATCTCTGCAAAGCAAAAGCTGTGGGAATCTTAATAATAATGGATCTAATGCAGTATTTTCCATTTCTAAAGTCCTTCTTCTGTGCAGCCTTGGAATACACCTTTTGAAGAGGTAGTAGGTAGTTATTTAGGTAGCTATTCTTTTCTTTAGAAATCTTTCCCCGGGTAGAAGTTAATTTAGTTAAACAAAATTTGAAACTCCAAAAGGTATATTCACTCATCATATTTTATCTCTGTATGCATACCACTGTGCCCAATCAAAGGTACACTAGCAGAAGACTGTTGAGACTGTAAATGCATTCAGTAACTTTTTGCATCATTCCGATTTCCAGCCTTCCCTATCAACTGTGTTGGGGAATGTCAGGGTGAAGAAACAAGGATTCAGCTGCTCTCCAGTCCTACAGTTGGTCCTGTATGTGCTTGCTAATGCAGCAAGGATTGTCTGCTGGGTACTTGCTCTCTGCTCAAGATCCAGGACACAGACTTCTCCCCAAACATGGGCAGTCTCTCACATCATGCATTCTATGATGGTGTTGTGATTGACTTCGAGCTGTTTGATTTGCAGCAGGGACTAAGATCCAGCACAAAAATACATGGGAAAAGCCAAATTCTTCATCAACTTCTCACAAGTCAGGGTAAGGATAAGCATGATTAAGCAAGTGCATGAGCACGAAAAGATGAGAAGTTGAGGTGTTCTTGGAAATGCAGCTCTCACTGCACAGTGCTGCACAAAGATCTGCCTACTTAATTCTGTCTGAGAGAGCATTAAATGATCAATCAGCAGCTCACCCACACAGCCGTTTACCTTCAGTAGAAAAAGGGACAGACCTTGCATGGGAAGAAGAGGCAGTCACAGAAGCTGGAGAGTTGAAGACTGAAATGTTCAAATGAGCAAAATGCATCCCAGTTACCTGTGGTATCTCAGGGTAGACTATAAGAAGTTACATCAAACAGGACAATTGGCACAGTCCACATTTCTTTGTTTTGTACAGGAAAATGGTCACAAAAAGGTGTCACATGAGTACAGCAGCCATGGTCAGACATCTGCACGAGCTCTTGCAACATGATATAATCATCAGAGTGGCAGTCCCCTCTGTTGTAAGTCCACATCATGCTTCCATCAGTATGCAAATAATAGCACTTCATATGTGGTCACACTAATGAGGCATGACTGTGTGACCATCCAGGCACATCCTTGACTTCCTGTCATCAGTAAGCCCACTCTAGCCAAATATGTTGCACAACAATGGCTGTTGCCAGATGCCATTTTGCAGATCAAGAAGACAATAGGTGGTCACTCCCAGTTTGTGAGTTGCTGAGTCATTAAGAGGAAAAATAGAGCATGATTCACCATATATGAACAGGATACGGGCATTCTTGTTGCAGTGCTGTCTCATAATAAGATATCGTGTCAGAGAGAAAACTCAATGCATGCTATCCAAACAGTATTTCACTGTATACTACTAATATATACTAGAAAGCTGATAAGATACCACCATTGCTGGCTATGAATGACCTGCAAGACTGAGATTTGTAATGTACTGATACTTTCTACTATAGGCACACACACCAGTACACCCCTGATAAATGGAGATTTATCAGGGCAAAGGAGAAATGTAGATGGGTCGTCTTAGCTAAGTTAACCTAGACTTCTCAGGAAGACAAGCTCATGTGTTTCCAGCACATATGATATCTGTAAACACACAAAGGATTCATCCTGTACATCTTGAACTTCTTAACCTGTCCCATTCAAGTTACTACAAAGAGTGGCTGAGCTTCACTTCCTACTGCGTACTATTTGACAGTCACCAGCCCACGTGAGAAACAGAGCCCACAGGCGGGCAGAATAAGATGTTACTGATGATACCCTTTGAGAAATTAAAATGAGCAGCCATCAAAACTAGTAATAATATGTAGCATCAGAAGATTCTTTATTAGAGGTCATGCATTCCACCTACTTGTCTTCTCACTTCAAAAACCAAATTAACACACACATTCTTTGAAGTGCTGGTGTTTACTCAGGAATTGCTAGATCATCATTGAGTATGGGTAAAGATATAATTACTAAGCAAAAGTATTTTGCACCTTCTATCTTTGCATGCTGCTTTGCACAAGTACATCACTAAATGTGCTCTAGACTGCTAATGCCCAGCTGCACCAAATGGTTTGTGGCCCACTGAAGGAAAGACAACTGTGGAAAGCCTTCAGGCCTCAAGACCATACACTGGCAATGAACTACCTGTCAGGATAGGCAACATCTCACCTACTCTTTCTCTCACTTGTGTTTACCTGGTAGTCAGTCTGCTTCTTATTAAATGACATGAATGGGACAGGTGTTGATCTCCTGGCACCCAATTCCTCCAGTCAGCTGACTAGTCCTTCCCTATTCGTGGGTTATCATAAAAGAAGCAGATATCAACCTCTTCCAAACAAAGGAAGGGAAAAAAAAAGAGAGAAACAGATAGGAAACCACTCCTGGTAAAACACCAAATCTCTTTTACTCATGGGAACTGGTGTTTACTCTTCCAAATGGCTTTCTATGAACATGGCAGGATTTGTTGACAGAGAAGGACATAGTGCTCTGGCTTTTTCATTGTTTTTCTCTTTCCCATTGCTGATTATTAAATGTGTTCTCTTCTCCTCAGATACTTGTCTCTTTGCTCTAGAAATAGCACAGAAATAATATTTCAGCTGAATGAGAACGTGCTGACTTCTGATGTTTTCAACAATAGATGGGTTGATGTGAATATGAAAGATAATGTACTTGATTTGCTTCATTTTTACCAGCCTCTAGAGAGTTTAATCTATCCAGAAAAGAAGTGTCTGTCTGATTTTTTTTTCCTGTGTGACTGTCATGTCATCATCTTGTAAGACAGAGTTATTCTGAAAACAAAAAAGTAGAATTCATAAAGCATTTTGATCATGGGCCAGATCCTATCACTTTTACTTATCCTATTTGTATGTCAAACTTATCTATGAGAGTATGCTGAGATATCAGCCCACTATCATCAAAATGGCGACACCCAGATTTGGTGTCCAAACTTTGAAAGAAGGGATTTTTCTGAATGCTTATCAATATTTACTTGAATTGAAATTGTCAGATCCAGCTTTACATAAGTGGCCTAAAGTAGCATATGTTTACTTTAAAATGTAAGCTTGTTTTGTGTATACCCTATTATTTATTTTCATTCATTTTAGAAAAAAAAAATTATTCAAACCTTATACAACAAGAGGAAGATTTCTCAGTCTTTGTTTTCTTATTTTTATAATGGCTTTTTTGAAT